GGGAATGAGGACTTCGAGTGGGTGCGCGCGTCGCCCATGCTGACGGGGCTCCTGGAGGGCCACGTCACGCGGCTGGCCACGCCCCCCGACCACCGAGGACTCCGGACCAGCCTGGCCACGCCGCCCGAGTCCGGCGAGGAGGGCGGCGGCGGCGGCCCCGCGCACCGCCACCGCCAGTACCCGCGGCCCCCACCGCGCGCCGCGCCGCGCACGCTGGAGCCGACGGACCTGGTGCCGCACCGCCCCCTCAGGGACGGCCTCAGGGACTCCCGCGACCGCCTGTACTCGCCGTCGCGCGACCTGGCCGGCCACCGCCGCTCCAGGGACTCGTCCGTGGAGCGCAGCGGCCGCGACTCGTCGTGCGAGCGCGGGTCGGTGTCCAGCCTGCACCAGCACGCCCACCACCACCACCACCACGCCCCCGGGCCCCGCCTGCCGCACCACGCCTGCGACTGCCCGTCCTGCTGGTGCGACGAGGACGAGCCCGGCTACGACTCCTGCGACGAGCGCCACCACCACCACCGCCACAGCTACCACGAGGGCCTCCACCACGCCCACCTGCACTCGCTGCCGCCGCACCACCACCAGACGTGCGGGCGCGATGCCGCGCGCGAGCGGCGGGCGCGCGGGCAGGGCTCGGGCGACAGCGGGCGGTCGTCGCCGGGCTGCTGCCGCCACTGCCACCCGCTGGGCTCGCTCAGCTCGCTCTCCAGCCACGACTACTGCGCCAACAGCCGGCTGGCGCTGCCCTGCGCCTCCAAGGTGGGTGGCGCCCTCGCCACGCTCCAGGGGGCGCGCCGACATCGCCGCCTCGACTCAGACTACATCGCGTTGTGGAGCTGCCACTCCCCGCCGGTACGTGCCGCCCACGCCAGGCTGCCCACACCAGGGCGCCCGCACTGCCGCCCGCGCGCCGGCGCCCGGCCTCCCCTCATGCCTAGCCACACCCGCCGCGGGCGAGAAGTAGGGTCAGCGCCAGGGTCGGCAGACAGCGCGGTCCCGCGGGCGTGAGCGCGCTGTCTGCCGAGGTTTGGGTCTTTGAGTTCATTCCAGGAGGAGGCTGAGCCCGCGCGCGCGGGGGCGGCGGCGGGGCTCTGGTGCGGGCGTGCGTGACGGGCGCGAGTTCTGCCACTAACCAGAGACGACCGCTCCTCCCCCGGCCGTCCTCCCGGGCAGCCGCACTTTACAAAACGTCATTGTTGTTTACGAGCCGCCCCCCCCCCGCCGCGCCCATGCCCGCGCGAGGGCGAGGGGGCGCCCGGGAAGGTCTCCTGCCGAGGCACTCCCGTTCCTCCGTCAGCAGCCCTTGTCCCGGCGCCGCGACTCGCCCGAGCCGCGGGCGGGCATGGGCGCGGCGCGCGGCGGGCGCGTGCTGTCGCTGGTTGCCGTGGCGCTAACGATGAAGTTCTGCATTGAGGTGGCCATGTCCTCGGCGAGCACCCTGGTGGGGGTAGGGGTAGGGGAGGGGAATGCCTGAGCCCCTCCCGTCTCAGCCGCACGGCCTCTAACAGCTGAGACTCCTCTGTGTGCACTAAACCTGCAATGACCTTGGCAGCTGCGGTGTGCTAGCCCCTCGGCAGGCGCCGACGGGGCTCTGAGCCGGTGTTCGGGCTTGCGGAAGTAGGGGAGGGAGGGGGGGGGCTGGACGTCTGCTCAGGACCCCGTGCTCGAGCCTGCCCACTCTGGGGATGAGGGCGTAGAGGGTAGACGCGCATTCGCCGTAACAGCTGCGAGGTGTAACCGTAGATTAAGTGTGTTGTACTGTTCCCCTTTTCGTAGCAGGAAAGGCTCCCTGCCGCGCTTTCCCAAGACGGTGTGCATTGAAGTGAGACTTTTGTTTAGACTAACACGTAGGTGTGTGGAAGACCTGAAACCTCGTTTTTTTATTTTCATTTTAATTTCTTTTTTTTTTTTTTTTTTTATTATTTTTTTTTTTTTTTTGCCAATATTAGTTCCGTCAGAGTTTGGCTTTCTCAGATTACACTCGCGAAATTAGAATCACGATTTTTCTGATGTGCTGGTCAGGACACTCTCTTATGCTGCACTTTATTAATATTGCTTGCATAATGTGTGTAGGTGTGTTTTGTGTGCGGATGCTTTTATTGTGTGTGTGTGTGTGTGTGAGAGAGAGAGAAAGAGAGAGAGAGGAGAGAAAGAGAGAGAGAGAGAGAGAGAGAGAGAAAGAGAGAAGAGAGAGAGAGAGAGTGAGTAAGACAGTAAGAGAGAGAGAAAGAGTAAGACAGTAAGAGAGAGAGAAAGAGTAAGACAGTAAGAGAGAGAGAAAAAGTAAGACAGTAAGAGAGAGAGAGAGAGAGAGAGAGAGAGAGAGAGAACGAGAGAGAGAGAGAGTGAGAGTGAGTAAGACAGTAAGAGAGAGAGAAAGAGTAAGACAGTAAGAGAGAGAGAGAGAGAGACAGTAAAACAGAGAGTGAGTAAGACAGAAAGAGAGAGNAGGATGAGTATAATTTTAGTTACTCCTAAACCTAATTACAGGAATGTACCACTTTCTTCAAATGTGAAGCGTAGAAAACGTTTTTAATTTAAGGGATAGCTTTAAGAAATGCATGCACACTACATTTATTTATTTGATTTGGTTCAGAGATGATGTTATAGTTATATAGTCGATAGTTATATAGCTCTTTTCTAGTATCTATTCCTTCTGGGTCCTCCTCCTTGCCCTCAGCCAGACTCCTTCGCTCGGGCTCAACGTCACGGTTTGTACACCAACAGGCAAAGGGTCCTGTTACAGAAAACGGGAATTTAGGATCATAGAAAACATTTACATACATTTCATTGTATACACATTTGTATTTTTATCTTCGTATATTCCCACTTACATTAACAGATTCATTTAAAAGAGTTATTGATGCATGCAGTACATAAATATTTTCCTAATCTAATATCTATTCTTTTAAGCCTGAAGGACTCATCCACATATGTTGCAACTTTGTTTTCTGTTCTTAATTTCTTGAAGTGTGCTTGTGCTGCATAAAGGTAACTATGACTGTTTGATTTAAAGAAATTGCACTTACACACACACACCTCTCTCACTACCACCACTCCTAACAACTCTCCCTCTCCTTCCCTCTCCCTCGCTCCTACTCCTCCCCTCCTCTCCTTCCTACTCCCTTCCTTTCATCCCTTCCCATTTCCTCCCTTCTCCCCCTCCACTCCTCTCCACCTCTCCTCCTCCTACTCTCTCCCTATTTCTCCCCTTCACTCTCCTTCCCTCCACTTCCCTCCCCTACCCTCCTCTCCTTCCTCCTACCTTCCTCTCACCCCCTCCTATCTCCTCACTTCTCCCCCTCCACTCTTCTCCACCTTTCCTCCTCCCTCTCTCTCCCCTTTCCTCCCCCTCCTTCCCTATCCCCCCCCCCCCAGATACCCACCTTGACGCAGGGTGCCAGCTCGATGACGTAATCCCGAAGCAGTGTTGCCAGTGCGAGCTTCGCCTCGAGTCGGGCGAAGCGGATTCCGATGCAGTTCCTGGGACCCGCTCCGAAGGGCATCCACGCCAAGGAGGGGCGCCCCTTCTTCCTCTCCGGCAGGAATCTTGAGGGCGTGGTGGGTGAGGTAGAGAGAAAAAAAGGTTTAAAAGAGGGAAAGATTGTTGGTGGGTTCGATGGGTAGATGATCGATAGATAGATGGCCATGTGGATGGATGAATAGATGTAGGGAGGGAGAGAGGGAGGAAGGGAGAAAGGAGGCAGAGATGAAGGTAAGGAAAGAGGGAAGGAGGCAGGAAAGGTGAGAAGGAAAAGACGGAAGCAGAGAGAGAGAAAGATAAGGACGAGTCAGGCAGAAGGAAAAGTAGATAAATATATACAAATGCTCATAGGATAATTACTGACATCAATTAATAATCTTAAAAAGAGAGATTCGTCTCAAGTTTCTTGACTTTTTACACACTTTTCAATCCCAATATTTTTAATAAAAAATTACACTGGCTCTCTTTTACAAAAAGTCAAATTCACAGATCAAAATAATATTAACAACAATAGAAATGCTAAATATATATTGATGATAAACAATAATAGTAATAATTATAATAATAAATAATGATAACAATATAATGATAACAATGATAATAATAATGCGTAAAGATAAGATAATGATAATGATAATGTAATAATAATGGCTAATAAGCAGATAATAATAAAATAATAATATAATGATTAATGTTAATAAAGAATAATGATAATGATGATGATAAGATAAAGATAATATGATAATACTGATAATAATAAACAATTATAATAATACTGATATAATATAATATAATAATGATAAATACATAATTATAATAATAGTAATAATAATAATAATAATAATGATATTAATAATAATAATAATAATAATAATAATATAATAAATAGATAATAATATAATATAATGATAATCCAATAATAATAATAATAATAATAATAATAAATAATAATAATAATAATAATGATCAATAATAATAATAATAATAATAATAATAATAATAATAATAATTAATAATATATAATATAATTAATAATAATAACATATAATAATAAATAATGTAATAATAATAATAATAATAATAATGATAATGATAATAATAATAATAATAATAATAATGATGATGATGATGATGAATATGATGATATACTACTACTACTAATGATAATAATAATAATGATATAGTGATAATAATGATAATAATAATAATAATAACAAAGATTAATAATGATAATGATGATATGAAACAAAGATGATTAATAATATATATAATGATTAATAATGATGAAGATAATAATAATAATTAATAATAATAAATAAATAATAATAAAATAATAATAATAATAATAATAATAATAATAATAATAATAATAATAATAATAATAATAATAATAATAATAACAATAATAATAATAATAATAATAATAATAATAATAATAATAATAATAATAATAATAATAATAAAATTAATGATAATGATAATAAACATAATGATAATAATAAAAAAGATAATAACGATAATGATAATAATAA